GATGTAAAATTTGAGTTTTGAGTGTTTTTAGTCAGAAACTAGCTGACAGGCAAAAGGACAGTGTGATTGAGAGAAAAGGAGAGTGATAAAATAAACAAACACACCGACAGAACAAAAATAAATGGGTTTCTGAGTAGTAGTAGAGTAGAAAAAGAGGAAAAATCAATGCGGGTAGGTAGAATGAAAGATAGAGCGAGAGTTAAAGAAAACAACGTCAATGTCAATAAAAAAAAACTTCTAGTTGATAGTGATCGACCTCCGTGGTTTAAATTGATGTATTGGATCTTCTTGAGGTCATTTTACAAGTAAAATGACCTCAAGAGGATCCAATACATAAAAAAAAAACTTATCAAGAAAATCCTTAGGCCCTTTAGCGTCAAATTATACTGCACAGTAAAACCGTGAAGAAAGAATAAGACAAAAAGTGAGAAACTTAGAGACAGAGCGGTGAAAGAGTGATACAAAGAAAATAAAGAATTTGAGAGAGATATAAGAAACTGAAAAAGAGAGTGAGAAGAAGAAAAAGTGAGAAAAAACTGGTAGACAGGTCTGAAAGGAATAAGAGAGAAACTTAGAGACAGGGCGGTAGAAAGCTATAAAAAGCTATGATATATGAGCACGAGTTTCAGAGAGAGAGAGAGAGAGAGAGAGAGAGAGAGAGCGAGAGAGAGAGAGGGAAAGAGAGAGAGAGAGAAGAAAGAAACAGACAAATACAGGAGAAAGAAAAGAAAAAAGAGCGGATGAGAGAAGAGAAGAGACGAGAGAGAGTGGAAGTGAGAGCAGAGAGAGAGAGAGAGAGAGAGAGATAGATAGAGGGAGAGAGAGAAGGTAGAAAGAAACAGACGAACGTGGATGTCAAGAAAAATGTGAAATAGAAAGAAAATTCATATATTAAAGTAGGCAGGGAAACAGAGATAGAGGAAAAAGAAAGAGTAAATACAGACAGACTCAATATCTCTTCCATTCTATACCCATGTAATAAAGTTAAGTAAATAGTTTTTGAAAAATACGAAAGTTAAGTTGGGACTTGCCTTTCCCTGCTTATAAATCTGACGTCGTTCACACCTCGGCGTCTTCCAGGGAAACGCCGGATAGAATCCTACAAAACTGTCTTACTATCGAGCAATTTTTAAACCCAGAAAAAATTTGGAACTTTTTTATTAAAAAAGGAAAAAAAAAGGCAAAACGCTTGTTAACACTTTGTAAACAGGATTGATTTATCCGAAGGTTTTCCATCTGTAGAGATCAACGATGTTGTCAGACGTATGAGCCCAGTGACGATTGTATCCCCCTCGGGGGAGACGTTTTTTGCCCTTTTACGACACAATGGGGCTCAAGTGCGGTGCTTTAGCCGGGGCGGGAACGACATAGCATGTGCGCTTGTTGACATTTTCAGGGGGAGGAAAACGTCGGGATAAAACGGTCTAAAAGCACAAAAGATAAATAGTCGTCAAATTGAAATACATTTATATTTTTTAGAAAACCGGGGGCTTTGTAAAAAACTGTTGTAAAAAGAGACGTCTCTTAGATCGTAAATATTAAATGTTCGATTTCCCCCCGGATCGACAATTGAAGAGTTTCAAAGATAAATACCCTGAGAGTCTGATGGTGCGTATAATCCTCTGTTCGATTTACCCCCTAACTCGCAACCCTTGAAAATTTAAGTGATATCGTTAAATGTTCATCCCTTCTAAAAGTGGTCGTAATATTTTTTTTTTACCTTGAGCAGAAAAATTCCCTATCAAATCTAAATAAAAATCATCGTTTATTCGTAATCCTTTCTCAGACAAAGAAGAATGTACAATAGAACAAAAAATAATTATCGCCAGCCATTCAAGTAAATATTAATATCTAAAGCTCTTCTTCGATATGTTCACCGGTGTTGAAATAATGTCGACAGTTCGTCCGAGTAGCCAGTCCCTATAATCTTGAAAGGATTATCTCTAATCCGTAAGCGAATTCGATCAATATCTATATTACACCCGGTCTTTACCGAACAGTTCGCAAGTCTTAAAGGGATCCTATGATTATGATGAGAATAATAAAACCATAGTAGTGGCAAGAGTTGTTTGAAAACTTCAGTTTATATCTGGGTCTAAATTTGACTCGATAAACCGAGGGAAAAGGGCGCATAAGTGGTTATTTGAGACAGTGATAAGGTAGATTACTGAATTTTTCCTTTTCACAGCGAATAAGTTCAACTCATTCATTAATGATAACGTCCAAGTAAAACAACAAATGTCCGGACAATTAAGTCTCAGTCATTAAATGAATTAGTAGAGTTTACTTACGGTAGAATTAAGAAATAAATAATAAGATGAACGAGCGAGAGGATTAAGGCAAGAATGTGTGAATGATCAAGTAAATGAATGAATGGAGTAACTAACGTTGCGAATGAACACGCTATTAATTTATTCATAGCATTCATTGTATTAATGATAAAGTAAACGAATTGATTAGCCGTGATTGAGCGATCATAAATCATAAATTGTGAACTTTGTGAACGAATCTGCAAATGACTGTGATTGTGCCATCGAAAGAGTAATTAATTAAAAGAGTTAATTATTCTATATGAATGACCAGTATGCAAATATATATTTTATATGAATGAGTGAGCAAATGAGTGAGTAAATGGTGAATGACGACGTGTAACTGTGCTAGCAAAAAATGATTAGAGAAACGAGAAAGTGAACGACGCGAAAGCTTTTACATGGATTAATTTTCCGTGAACGATTTATGAGAACGTTTGATTGTCGTAAATGAGTTCGTTTAAACTATTTGACAAATGAATTACAAATGAGTGCGTTTTTTTGGTGAATAATTATTAAGAGGGGCTGATTGTGTGAATATGGCATTGACGATTGAGTGACTCGATTAGCTAATGTGTGAATTAGTCGCGAATGATTAAGTTTTTCGTGAATGACAACATGTAAGTGTTCTAGAAAAACTGGTTAAATAAGCATGAACGAATAAACGAAATTTTAAGATGGGTTTGATAACCGGTTTGTTTCCCTGTGAAGGATTGTGAGAGTAGATAATTTGATGAGCTAATGGATGAATTAATTGTGAATGAGTGATGTGAAATCATAGATCGAGCTAAAGTGCTAATGTGTGAACGAATGTGGATATGACTGTGTGAATGATTTATTATGTGAATAAGTGATTCGATGAGCTAATTATTCGAGACTGAGTGATGAGAAATCGTAAATGTTGAACGAATAAAGGGTATGTGGAAGTGAATGAGCTAATTTTTCGTCTATGATTGATTGACGAATGAAGGACTCGGTGAGGTAATGCGTGAATTAGTCTGGAACGAGTGATAAGGAATTATAATTGGTTATTTATCATGTGAATGAATATGCGAATGACAGTATGAACTTTTATTGTATGAATGAATGATTCAATTAGATAATGTGTGAATTATTTATGAAGGAGTGATGAGGAATCATAAATGGTGAACTAAATTGTGAACGAATATGCGAATGACCGTGTGAGGGTTTTTGTGGGAATGAAATTAAATTAATTAATCGTGGATCACAGAACGGATAATAGTATGTGTGAGTGAATGAGCTAATTTTTCGTCTCTGAGAAATTAAGAATCATGATTGATTGATAAATGAAGGATTCGGTGATGAACGAGTGATGAAGAATTATAATTGGTTATCTAACATGTGAACGAATATGTGAATGACTGTATGAATTTTTTATTGTATGAATTAATGATTCAATGAAATAATGTGGGGATTATTCATTAACGAGTGATGATGAATCATAAACGATGAACTAAATTGTGAACGAATATGCGAATGACCGTGTGAGGGTTTTATTGTGTGAATGAAAGGTTAGATAATATAATGTTTAAATTAATCGTGGATTGGTGATAGGAAATCATAAATGATGCACTAGCGAGTGAACGAATATGGGAATGAGTGTGTGAATGTGACACAGAACGAATGATTGTGAAAGATTCAGTTAAATCACGAGAAACCAGTAGGTGAACAATTGGCGAATTTATGATCGGTGAGTGAATACGCTAGTGATTGATTTAGAATGTGTAAATGTGCTAGAAAAGAATGATGAAGCAAAAGAGTGAGTTAATTGAAAGTAAATGAATTTTTACGAAGAGTTCGTGAATGCGTCAATTATCGAGTGTTTTTTTCGGTTCGAATGCGAATGAGTCCGTTTTTCGGCGAATGATTTGTGAGAGTAGCTGATTGTGTGAATGTGTTATTGGGCGAATGAATGACTCGATGTACTAATGTGTGAAATTGACGAGAATGAGTTCATTTAATAAAATTTGAAGTAATGTGTCCTCGATTGAGCATAGACTTTTTTGGAGAGAGTGTGAAAGTGAGCTGGTGAGTGAATGATTAAGTAAGCGAATGGATGTGTGGGGTTAGTTAATAGTGAGTGATTGTATGAACGAGTTAATTAGTCGTGAATGAGTGTTGATTATACCGTTGACCAATTGAATTGTCATTCATAGAGACATGTTCACTTACAAACTTTCCAAAGTACATTTTTCCGGTCTGATGTTTTTTGTTTTCGTCCAATTGAATAGCGGGCGATAAATCTCAACGTTTTTGTCAGGACGCTGCGAGGTGGACCATTGTTCATATATTTGGGGCCGTTTATTCCCTCTGCTGAGTCCAAAACTTTATAACGAGAAGTGGGGAAGGTGAGAAAAGGGTCAATTGTCAGGAGCTTAAGGAGGCGTCAGGTCGAGAACGGCCCTTTGTCACTTTTCCTGTTTATCCTGCCATTGTGGAAGAAGAGCGGGCCCTGTTACAAAACTGCCACACATAACTGGCATAATACCAGTAAAAAGAATTGATAACAATAAAAATCATTTCGACGTTCTCCATGTCTTCGTCCTTCGAAAATTGTATTTAATTTTTTTGAAATTTTATTATGCACTGTATAGAAATTAATATATTTAATAAATCAGCCTTGTTTAAGAGAAAAAGGGGAAGATTTTAATTTAAAAATGTCTTCATTACTTTCATACTTTTCGGAGTTTGTCATTTTAATAAAGAGCATGTGAAAAACGCTCAGTTTAAAATCTGAAATCCTTTGAAGTTCGAGAAGTTCGCCCCTTTGCCTCGGCCTCGGCCTCCGTCACACCCCCAGCCCTTTTGAAGATCCTTTCACCAATCTGACCTGTGTTGAAAAGAGATGAAAACTGCCGTTAAAAATTAAAGCTATTAATTTCCCCAGGGGAATTTCAATTCACGGCCTTTTTTTGCCCGACGGTAGAAATCGAATAAATTTTTTCGAAAACCTTCCTTTTTTTCTATTTTTAGTAAAAGCCTTCCTATCGAAAGGGCTGAAGTACGAACAAAAAGTCTAATAAAATTCAGAAACAAAAAATACAATTAAGTATATAGGGTACAGCGTGCACGAAGATACAGTCAATTAAATGTCTAACTTTTTAAAGTTAACAAAAAAATGGATCATAAATAAGGACAACGGGGAAATATTAAACCATTAGTGGCAGAGAGGAACTTAATATTACTGTACCAAACATTAAAGATGATTTTTTTTAAACAGAATTTCTCTGCACATAACGGTTTTTCTCGCACATGGAACTTTATTGTCCATGATGATTTCTGGCTGACGATTCTTTATCGTTTATGATTCGTTTCAGTTTACTGTATTTTTTTTTTGGTTTATAGATCTTTCTAGATTACTGTTCTTTGCTACCCTTTGTTCTTTTTCGGTCACGGTTATTTTTCCTTTACGATTTCTTCAGCTCATTGTTCTTTGTATTTTATACTAATAAGTACTGCGTACTTTGACATTCACGGTTCTTTCTAATTGTAAGTCACTGTTTTTAGACGTTCAATGTCCTTTCAGTTTTATCTTTTTTGCCTTACATTGTTCTTTTTAGCTCACAGTTCTTTCTCATTTATGGTTTCTTCCCGCCCATTGTTCATTCATCGTTCATAGTTCGACCCTGTTTGCTTTTTTTTTGTTCATGGTTCTTTCCAGTTTACTGTTCTTTGCCACCATTTTTTCGAGCTGACAGTTATTTTTCTTTCATGATTTTATCAGCGCACTGTTCTTTGTCGTCCATGGGGCTTTTAATCTCACGGTTCTTTCTCGTTGCCATTTTTTTTCCAATTTACTGTTATTTTATCGTTCTTGGTTTGTTCCAGCTCACAGTTCGTTATTGTTACGGTTTGTTCGAGTTCACAGTTTTTCTAATTCGTGTCTTTTTCTCATTCATGGTTTGAAATATGTAATTTTTCTATTTTTTCTACTTTTTTTGCTGGCCGTAAATTTTTTGCTTCAATAAAGTACACTGTTCTTTATAGTTCCATTTTATTTGTGTTTTAATGTTCTTTCTAGCTCACGGTTTTTTTTTCAACTCACTCTTCTTTGTTATTCACAGTTTTTTCTAGCTCACGATTTTTTCTCGTTCATGGTTCTTCCTCGTTCACTGTTTTTTTATCGTTCATAGTTCGCTCCAGTTTACTGGGTTTTTCTCGTTCATGGTCCTTTCTGTTTTACTGTTCTTTGCCACCATTGTTTTTTTTAGCTAACGGTTATTCTTCCTTCACGATTTCTTCAGGTCACTGTTCTTTGTCGTTTAGCTTACGGTTCTTTCTCGTTGCTAATTCTTACCGATTTACTAGTACTTCATTGTTTCTGGTTCGTTCCAGTTCAAAGTTTGTTATTATTATGTTTTGTCCGATTACAGGTTTTCTAATTCATGACTTTTTCTCATTTGGTTGAAATGAAAAAGTTAATGTCACGAGCGAGATTCGAATTCACGACCTTCGGGTCAATACGCCGCTGCTCTAACCAGTTGAGCTCAAACATGGCTGAAGACAAAAGGTCAATGCCAAAAAAAAAAAAAAAAAAAAAAAAAAAAAAAAAAAAAAAAAAAAAAAACCAGTTGAGCTATCACGACTTCGAATTTTCAACCAAGACCTTACATAAAAAGATTAATTAATTGAAACTAGCACTAATGCCAGCACTGCACCGGTAGAACGTATGCTTTGAGGAGCCAGGCATAGCTGGCACTCAATGTGTGTGATTAGGTATCAATGATGTCCCGATGCTACCGTCGGTTGAGGCGACGTGGCGGTTGTCAGGATGGGAATTAATTAAGAGGGCTCGAGATGGTTAGGATAGTTCGAAAGGTGGTGTGGAAAGTCTGGACCGGATCAGTTCGTTGACAAAAAGAATGCTGAGGTCTTTGTACATAGTGCGGTTAGGGACATAATAAGGTGCTTTGACAATTTGTCTAAGGACTTTCGATGGGAAGGACTGGATGCTCTGGATATTGGACGACTCGGTAGTACCCCACAGTTCCAATCCGTATATTCATTTCAGTGAACTTAGTAAACTCTTGTACAGTGTTAGCTGTCTTTGTTGTCAAAGTCGATTTCGATCTTAGAATTCTTCGGAGTAGTCGAAGTCTTAAGTTTTTTTAAGTCTTGTGTGGGGATTCCTCATCAGTCCGCTGTCGAGATATAGTCCGAGGTATTTGATTTGAGTAGAAACTGGTTTGTTGTTGATGTTCAATGGAGAACAAGACTACTTTTTCAGCGTGAAACACTGAGTGCATTTTTGTTCGTTTAGTTCGTCCTCAATTTTTTACACCAGTCTCCGATAAGCTCAAGGTGTTCTTGGATGTTGGAGGAAGCTTGGACAGGATAAGAGTTAGAGCTACCCGATTGCGGTGTCGTAGGTGATGAAAATAGTGTCAGGATTACGTATACATCAGCAATATAAATGATATAAAGGATAGGACCAAGGATACTACCTTGCGGTACACCGGCCCGGATCTCTTTGACATCCGAGAATTAATTACCGCACCTCACTCTGAAATTGCGATTGGTTAGGAAGGATTTCGATAAAAGATAATAATGAAAGGGCAGGAAGCGCTGAAATTTAAAATGTATGTCTGGATACGTCTAAGAATGCGTCCAGGCAATACTCCTTTTTTCCAGGGCCGATGAGATGATGACTACTCTAAAACTTTGCAGGATAGTGGAATGTAGTGGACGGAAACCGAATTCGTGAGATCGAATGATTTTTGTTGATGAAGGATTGTTTTGCTTCAATAAAGTACACAGTCCTTTACAGTTCCGTTTTCTTTGTCGTTTAATGTTCTTTCTAGCTCACGATTTTTTGTCATTCACGGTTCTTTCAGCTCACTCTTCTTTCTCGTTCATTGGTCTTTTTAGCCTACAGTAGGTTTCATCTCATTGTTCTCAGTCCTTCCATCCTTTGAAGATAGGGGAAAATAAATTGCTATTTCCCATCAATACATTTAATCCAGAAAATATTTGAAATAAATGGATTCTTATTAATCAGCCGTAAATGTAATATAAATAGAAAATGGAAAAATAACGTTTAACAATGGTTCGAAATAATTGTTCAGATTACGAATTATTGTTGAATGTGTATTTACAATGATGGTAACTGTGACAGCGGAAACAATAAAATTATATTACATCGCTGGAAAAACGTGAGATCACACAATAAAGAGGAAAACGGTTTTAGTTCTATAACGTGAATCTTGCTTAGCTAATATCTCTGGGCGTTATATAACTATTCCGTAATATAAGGTTTGTTATATGACCCTTTGAGGCCGGAATACGATATAATAGAGTTAAATACGCCCATTATAAACAGCCGTTTGGGTAGTAATAATTGGCGTTTTTCCCTTCCCTTCTACAAACTTTTAGAGATTTACGAGCATTATTACAATTCCTCCATGGGGTTGATTTTACCGCCTGGGGCGGGGGCGAGGGGTCTCTTATTCAAATTAAGCAATATGAATTCATGCCTGAAATCGGCCCGAGGCCCGTCCCAGATTTGCGTTCAAGGTGCTTATTAAGGTTCAGGTCGTCGTCGACGGTTAAACCTCGACCTAACGACAACCGAGAAAAACATTGATATATTTGGATGGATTAAAAACCGAGTTGAGAAAGAGCCACAAACGAAAAAAGAATCGCAAACGTGAGAGAAGTAGAGTTTAGAAAAGGTCGAACATCAATGAACTTTGAACGAGAACCGCAAAGAATAATGAACGACGATGAACAGTACGAACCAAGCACGATAAATTAAAAAAAAGAAGTGAACTTGGAGTAATCGTGAACGAGGAAGAACCATAAACTGTAAAGAATAAAATAACTATGAAATAACAGTGGACGATAAACGTACTGAGCTAGAATGAGCCAAGACCTAAAAGAATTGGCAAAGATCAGAAAGCTGAATCATGAAATATAAAGTAATCGTGAACATGACTGATCTGTGAACGACTAAGAATAATGAGCTGAAGTAGCCATAAAACCAGAAGAACCCTGAGCTAGAAAGAACAGTGAACGAGATGGTACAACTTATCGAACCGTAAAAGGACAAAGATCCGGGAGGCAGAGACTGAACGACGAAGAAGAGTGAGCTCAAAAAATCATAACCAGAAGAAACGGGAACTAGAAAAACCTTCAAAATAAAAGAACAGTGTATTGGAAGACATCGTGACTGAGAAAGAACTGTGAGCTAAAAAAGCCACGTAAGACAAACAAAAAGAGTGAACTGGAAGAACCGTGAGCTAGAGAGAACAGTAAATGACTAAGAGCAGTGTCTTACGATTGGACAGAACCGTGAAAGGCAAAGTACATTGATTTGGAAAGAAATGTGAACATGAAAAAACCTCGAAAGTCAACGAACCGTGAGTGGCAAAGAACAGTAAACCGGAAAGAATCATGAACGATGAAAGAACAATGAACGGGAAGAAACCGTTACTGCGAAAGAACTGTGCTAAAAAGAACCATGTAAGACAAAAACGAGAGAACGGGAAGATCCGTAAGCTAGAAAGAACATTGATGGAATAAGAACAGTGACTGACATTTAGGCAGAACCGTGAACGTCAAAGTACGCTGATCTGGAGAGAAATGTGAACTTGAAAGAACCTCAAAAGTCAAAGAACACTGATCTGGTAAGAACCGTGAATGGCAAAGAACAGTAAACTGGAAAAAACCATGAACGATGAATGAACAATGAGCGGGAAGAAACCGTGAGTGAGAAAGATCTATGAGTCGAAAAGTATCATGCAAGACAAAAAAGTTGAACTGAAAGAACCGTAAGCTAGAAAGAACATTGATGGAATAAGAACAGTGAATTA